GTGATAAGGTCCCTAGTCAGGAAACTTTACAAAAAGTTTCTGTTTCAGTTTGCTGACTAGAAATCTTGATTTTACTAAATGTGAAATGTAGTCAGCAGTCTTCTCATGATGAGATTTACTATTTCAGCAGAAAAACTATCTTCTGCATCTGAAAGTTATTTTGATGAATTTATTCCCCTTCCCTCCCCAAAGAGGCCTAATTAGGAACAGAAAGAATATCCCCAGAGAAAGCAAGGACATGTTTTATTAACTCTTGTCACACAGCTGTATAGTTCATATTGTTTTAGTATTCAGGGAGATATATATATATATATATACAGATAAAACAAAAAAGGAAGGTGTGAGAAAGAGATGGTAACTGATGAGGCATGCAGCACATACCAGAGACAATGGAAATCAGAATAAAAATGATAAGGCACTGTGTTAGCAAGAACCATCTAAAAAAAAGTAAAAAATAACTGTGAAAGCTACTGATACAATATACAGTAAGTCTGACTTTAGAAGGCCAGCTGTAGCAAACGAGCAACAAAAGTATTGTACAATACATCTCTGACACCACATGGTCAGTCTGTAAAATTGCATTGCACAGAATGTTTTGCATGTCCTCCAGCCATTTATGGACATGCTGGAAATAACTGGCACAGCATCTGATTGCATTATAAAAGCACCCATCATTTTCATGGCAATTGCCACCCCTCCCTCCAGGAATTAAGACACCAATCCTATACACAGTTACCTGTGATTAAGTAAATTAACCTAGGGCTTACTTTTGGCTAGACCTGCACAAGATTTACAGTATAAATTTGCACCCCCACCTCCCTCCGCTCCTTTTTTGTGGCAGCTGCCTATTAATTACTTAAAATTTTAGCCTGGCTCATGCCAAGGATTTAGATTATAATGAGTAAAGGTCATTATTTCAAAAATAATCTGAAATAAAATCTACATTAAGATATAAGGAAGCAGTAAATTATCTTTTACAACAATCTCCAAATATTGTGCAAAAAGTGATGGCACTTAAGGGAGAATTGTGAACATTTCATGTCTATCAACATGTGCTTTATATGAAGGCACACTTTTGTCTCTGTGTATATACAACCTAAGAAATTAGCACATCTGCACTCAGCAAACTAGATGGTGGACTTCCAGAACTGAGGGTGGGGGTTGTAAATCCACTCTGGATTGTACTCCTCTTCCCACAGCTGTTCCAAGCTAAGCACAGCTCTGCTGCTGTGGGCAGAGTTTCTGTTCAGTTTGGAAGAACAGCAGTAAAATCCATAGATGCTTCACTGCCCCCATGTTGGCAGAACCACCAGTTGATCCTGATCCAAGGAACAGGGCTGGCCCTACCATTGCTTTAGTGCAATTTGAAGCAAGCATCTCAGATGGAAGATGGTGGGGCAACTATGGCATCTCCCTAGCAGTTATTTCTCTCTAGAGCCACCTGGTCTTTGTCCTCTCTGAAAATACAAATACTGTGTATGTATACCATACTTTGGCCTACAATCCTACTGTTAGTCCCAAAAAGAGTAAAGCAATTGGATTTACTATTGTGTTGACTCATGTGGTGTAGTGATTTAGTTCAAATCCTTGCCCAGCCAGGGAAACTTAGGGGGGTTGCAGACTGCCAGAAATAGTGCAAATTGAGTCCACTTTTAGGGTTAGGGTTAGTGCTAGGGAATCATGGGAATTGGTGTTTTTTTATTCTGAGACATTGAGCCTTCTCTGTCAGAGAGCTCTGGTGCCACAATAAAATACAGTTCCCATGATTCCCTAACCCTAACCCTAATCCTAAAAGTGGACTCAATTTGCACTATTTCTGGCAGTTTGCAATCCCCGTTACTGGATGACCTTGTGCAAGTCCCATTTTCCCAGGAAGGCCATGGCAAACCTCCTCAAATAAATCTTGCCAAGAAAATCCTGTGATAGGTTCGCCTTAGTGGGAAATCACTTGAAGGGGCACAACAACAAACAACATGTGGTAATTCACAATTGAACAATTGATTGAATGGGTCTACTGTAGCAGGGATCAAGCAACAGGATTCTAGCCAGTGTGTTTCTAGAGGGCCCCAGAACTATGTAGGAGAAGCTCAACATTTACAGGCAGGCTGCTATTAATTTGGGCTAATTTTCCAGTACTTGAAGAGAGAGAACAAATTACTTTCCTCATCCTTTATCACTGAACCATCCCTAACTATGAAGACTGTTAAAAGCAAAACGTGCACCTAGAAGCACCCTCTATATAGTGTTCAGTGTAGCTTGCTCCCAACTAAGCACACAGAATAGATTGTAGGTAGACTTTATTATTTCCTGGAGGGCTCAATATTTCTTACTGCCTGGATTTGCCAATTGATTTCAGGTGGTGGGCTCAAGCCACCCCTGCCCTCCCCTTTCCAGGGTCCATGTATCCTGGACCTTCTAAACTGGCCCACTGTGCACAAGTGTGATGGAGGACCTAATCCCAGTTCCTATGCTGCAAGAAGATTCAACTCTCTGCCATCAGTTAATATACATGGAATGTGGAGGGATTAATGGAAGAAATGGGAATTATATTCCCCAGAACAAACTTTATCAAGCTTTGAACTCATCCCAGTATACTCAGCTCATTAGGTGCAACCAGCAGTCTTTGCATCTTATCTTTCACATATTTTGTTTTGCCTTAGGCAGACATATACACTTTTGTTCTATACAAGATAAGAATCTTTATGCTTTCAAGCATGCACCATACCAGACTTGTAATGTCACATACCACTGAAGTGTTAGCAATACTTTTAATGACAAGGGTGATAAAAATTTAAATGGCCTGACAGGTTTCTTTTTTATTTAAAGATTTTTTTGGCTCCAAAATGACTATGTTTCATCTGAAAAACATCTAGGGGATGACAGCACCCTTGGGGTCTCATTTGCACCCTGGTCCAAGAGAGAAACAGTGACCCTATTATACAAGAACCTGAGTGAACATGGGGTGAAATCCTTTAGGACAAACACAAGTCATGTAACATCATCCAATATCTTTTCTTTTCTTCTTTTTTTTCTTGATGAACTAAGCAGAAACGTAGATTCTAAGGAAATGTATTTGAAGTAGGAAACCAGAAGTGGCTTAGAAGTGAAAGGAGTGGTGGCTTGATTCTGGTACTGACCACAATTTTTTACGTTGAACATGGACCCAGAAGTGCCATGATCCTTATCAGCTTCAGCTGATACACCAGCTATGCCCCTTCTAGAGCTGGAGCACCTAAAGATTGTAATGCATGTGCTGGTAACCTCAGGGTAACCTTTTGGGTTGAAATAATGTGCTTTACATTGGGATACCTCTGTTTCAAGTTTGGAAACTTTAATTGCAGTAGTGCAAAACATGACAGCCAGATTGGTTACTGGTGCATCTAGGAGTAGTCATATTAAGCCTATATTAAAATCACTCCATTAGCTGCCAATTAGTTGCTGGGCAAGGTACAAAGTGCTGTTTGTTACTTTTAAAACCCTACATGGTTTGGCTCCAGGTTACCTACGGGATCACCTTCTCTGCTCTGTACACTTAAGTCTTCTGGGGAACAGTTGCTTCAGCCAGCCAGGATGAGGTTGGCAACTGTTAACCAGGACTTTTTCATCAGCCTCCCCAAATGGTGGAATGCCCTGCCAGAAGAGATTGGACAGCTGTATCCCCTATCTACATTTCCATTTACTCAAAAATAAATTATCCCACTGTCCTCTATGAAGGTTATACCTTGGCAAATGGGGCTAAATAGGTTGGGTCTCCCTTATCCAGAATTCTAAAATCCAAAATATTCCAAAAACCAACACTTTTTCATGGGTCACTGAGAGATTACAGTTGGCCCTCTCTATCCATGGGTTGAAAATATATATATATATATATATTCAAAAGCAAACTTTGATGTTGCTATTTTATATAAGGGACATCATTTTACTATACCATTTTATTTAATGGGATTTGAACATCCATGGATTTTAGTATCCATGGGGAAGTCTTTGAACCAAACCCCAGAGGATGCCAAGGGCCCACTTTTGCTTTCTGATGATTCGCTGTATACAGTTTATTAAAATATTGTATAAAATTACCTTCAGGCTATGCGTATAAGGTGTGCATGAAAGATAAATTAATTTTGTATTTAGACATCCAGCATGGTGTAATGGTTTGAGTATTGGACTACGACTCTGGAGATCAGGGTTCGATCCCCTGCTCAAGCATAAAAACCCATTGGGTGACCTTGGGCAAGACATACTCTCTCAGCTTCAGATGATGGCAATGACAAATTCCTTCTGAAGAAACTTGCCAGTGTAAATCCTATCATAGGTTCACCTAAGGTTGTTATAAGTCAAAAATGACTTGGAGGCACACAACAACAAAACCCATCTCCAAGATATCTCATTATGTATGTACAATTGCCTCTCCATTTTTGTAGGGGATCCATTCTGAACCCCCCCATGCGAAAATGAAAAATCACCAATATTCAAGCCCCATGGGCACACACCCCATTTGCTACCTGCGAATGGATGAGGGGTGCGTACTCCAAGTCCGCGAAAATGGAGGGGTGACTGTATGTACAAATATAGGCATTCCAAAATTTTAAAAAATCCTAAATCCAAAACACTTCTGGTCCAAAGCATTTCAGATAAGTGAGATTCAACCTGTACTATGAATAGTAATAATGCAACCAAAACATTGCCTAAAACCTAAGAAGCAAATGGCTGTCTGAGCCTAAAACCTAAGAAGCAAATGGCTGTCTGAACAAGAATATCTTTGCCATATGTCACACAACTGCAGAGAGGGAGTCAACCTAGTTTCTCAGAACAACAGGTGAAAAAGATTTGTTACTAAAGTCTCAACCAGGATGATCAGATGTCCTAACCGCAAAGGAGGACAAGACATTGTAAAATGTAGGACATCATAAAATGTAGGACATTGCAAAATCAAAGCTAAAAACACTCATAAATATAAACCCAGGCTTCTTAGTCCTTCTTAAAATGGATGACATTTTGGAATTCCTCCTGGACATAAGAAATGTAGGGCATGTCCTGAAAAAGGAGGACATCTGATCGACCTGGACTCTACCTGGACAGTTTTAACTTTGTGAAGTCAAATGACTGAACTGAGGCTGTCATACTTCAGACACATCATGAGAACGGAGGGCTCTTTGGAAAAGACAATAATGCTGGGAAAGGTGGAGGGACGTAGGAAGAGA